CACTTGTTCCGATCTGTGCCAAAGACACCAGTGAGTCAACTCCAGGCAAAAATGGCAGAGTCCTAAAGGGGGTGAGAAGAGGGCTGAATGATCAAAAAGGGAGGATTGACTTCAATCTGGAGGTCTGGGGAGGTGTTCCTGAAAGATGGCAAGAGAAAGATGAGAATGGGATCAAGGGACACTTTTGTGAAGATGAGTGTGGAGGAGAGAAAGCATGCCAGGGAGGCAGAGATAAGAAACACGGGCAGGCAGGAAGGCCCAAGGCACATGGGTGTGGATGGAGTGAGAGTTTCTATACAACATAGTTGCTCAATATCAGTACTGCTGATGCATTGGGATGGATGAGTCTTCAGTGTAAGGAAAATGTCCTGGGCATTCATTGCAAGAGACTTAACAAGTTGGCTGGCTCCTACTCATTCGAGGCTAACAGCACCCTTCCTCCCACATGCATCTGTGACAATCAAAACTGTCTTCAGACATTGCCAAACGTCCCCTGGGGAGAGGCAAAATCACCTCTGCTTTACAGGAAAGACTCGGGAGACTCAGAGATACAGTGAGGCCCCTTCCAAGGAGCAAGTGGGGTCCTGGCAGCCTTCCTGGCTAGTAGGCATGGCTAACTGGCAACTGGCAAGATAACGGCCGGTACCAGATGCAAGATCTTCAGTTACTTCTGCTTTATGATCCTCATGATCATTCATTCATTCAATAGACACTTATGAAGAGCTTACCATGTGCCAGCCCACGCTGGGTGGTGGCGGTGATATCTAACATCTCATCAAGGGTCTTCCCAGCAACCCTTGAAGATTCAGGAAATTGAGGGTGGCTTGCCCAAGCTCACAAGGAAAGAGTTAGATCTGGGATACCTTCCAGGTGCCCATTCAGCCCTTGGGAATCAGAGTCCCTCAGCAAGCATCTCAGGCAAACACAGAGAAACACCCCTTCTCAGGTGGAGAGCCTCTCTTTCACTTGAGGGCTCTCTCCTATTGAGGAGATGTTTCAACCTGCATTGTGGAGAGAGAATGAGCCTGAGGGTGGAAAGA